TTTAGTCAAATTGCTAGTTTTAGAAGGTGGACTAAGGGTTTACCTTGTGTGATTTGGTAGGTGGTGTGTAGTACCTATTTCTTGGTTGTATGAGCTGATTAGCTATTGACTACGTTGCGAGGTGAGATATATCACTATACTATGTAGGGTGCTAGTTGTATTTTTGATACTTGCATGGACGACCAGGGTTTGACCTTTAGAATTTATATGAAATACTAGGGTTTAGCTCCGAGAATTTGCATGTAAGACCAGGGTTTGGCTCCTGGAAAATATATGGAAGACCAAGCTATGGACCCTGACACTTATACAAGTAAAGAATATGATGCCCATAGCAGAGAATGACTATGATTTGGCCTGTAGCATCTTCTTGGGGTTAAAAATATACTTGTTATGTTATGTATGGTATGTGGTATTTTGGGGAACTCACTAAGCTTTGTGCTTACGGTTTTGTGGTTGAAATATTTCAGGCACTTCTGCTTCCAAGGGGAAGAGTCTGACATGATTGCAACACATTCACATGAGATTTCACACTTACGATTTTGTTACGACTCCGATGTTATTTGAATTACTTTTGATATTATCACTATCACTGAAAGTAATGAATGAATGTTTTGGTTGATTTAAAAACAAATTTTTATAGTATTTTTGGGACGTTACACGTTGTGCGTCACATATTATTTCCATGCTATATCATGGATTGCCACCCCTAAAAAAATTGTAGCCAATTATGATTCATTGAATTGTGTTGGTAATGATAAGACTTGGGTGAACTTGGTAAGGTATTTAACAATAACCCTTATGGTGGTCTTCCCGTTGGATGACAGGAGGCGTGTAACGAAATCCATGGAGTTGTCTTCCTATGGATTTGATGGTGTTGGAGTAGTTGTAAAAGTCCATATAGTTTGTGGTTTATGGCTTTGGTGGTTTGAAAAACTTGACAATTATTGATGTATTTTTTTATGTTAGTTTGCATGTTCGGCCAAAACCTTTAGTATGTGGTTGTGATTCCTGAGTGGCACCAAGTGTGGAGGAGTGAAATTCCGAAAAAAGTGTTAGTATAAGATTGATAACATCATGAATAAATAAGTGTCGATTGGTATACATCAAGTAGTCACGAAAAGTAAAACTTGATGGTTGGTCCTTGATTATGCAAAGGAATTTGCGACCTTATGGGTTGTCTCCAAAGAACTTGCAAATTTCATTCAACCAAGCGGTAGTAGGGGCTAAAATTACAAACATAAATGCGTAGTCTACCCAACTTAGAGCACCAGCAACCTTGTTTTCTTTGCCTGGTTTGTAATATTTTTCAAAATCATACCCTAGTAGTTTTGTGACTCATTTGAGTTGTACGAGTGTTTAAATGACTTGCGTTAGTATATGAATGTATGTTTGAAGTTATGTTGGTCGGTAAATACATAATTTTTTTCCAAAAAATATTTCTAAACATTTTTTACCGCTTCATTAGTCGCATATAGTTCTCAAACATAGGTGGAGTTTGGCTTGCATTTGAGGGTACATTTTTTTTGAAAAATATCATGGATGTGTATCGTTGAGATAGTACTTCTTTAATGGAGTACCCCTATGCATCTATAATCATGGTGAATGGGATTGACAAGCCAGTTAGTGCCAAGGCGAGGAGCGATGTCATGGTTGTTTTAAGAGTTAGGAATGATTCGACAGCTTTAGGTGACCACATAAAGGTTAGGGTTTTTAGTGGGGTTCCAATGGTTGTGTATCCTCGCACTAATCATTGCTCAAACCCTGTCAAATCAAGAAAGACATGTAAAGTTGTTAAAAAGGTAGGTGTCATCTATGCTTGTATGGCTATGATATTTTTCCGTTAAGGATGATACTATATGAGAAGAGATATTATAGGCGATAAACTAAATTTCGTTGACTCCATAAGTGCACTTGGAGAGTTTGGCATAGTAGTGGTTTATTTTGAAGATGTCGAGGACGAAGTGGAGTTAGTCGTAGTGTAGATAGAGAGATGGGCTATAAGTAGTATATCTTCAAAAAAACATAATGAAAAATCATCTAAGGATATCTTGAAAAAATGTGTTCAATGTTAATTAGAAGATATACGTGTCATTCTTTAAGTCGAATGGCATAACAAAAAATTAATAATGCTTGTTTATGGTGCGGAATGCAGTTTTATGGATGTATTTTGGTGCCACCAATATTTGATGATACCCAAATCCTAAGTCTATTTTAGAGAAGAATTATACCCTATGGAATTCATCTAGTAATTCGCCAATGATCAAAATGGAAATGGGTAATTGATTGTGATGCCATTTAAGGAGAGATAATCAACGCAAAACTGCCAAGTGACATCAACTATCATTAAGTATTTTCGAGACGAGTGAGGTCATAATTTTCTTATTGTAGTGTGGGTAACGATAAGGTTTAAAGTTGATTGGTTTGGAGTTGGATGGAGTGGTCGTTTTTTTTGTTGATGATAGTGTGTGTGCGTCTTCGAAAAGGGATTCAAAACTTGGTAATGGTGTTGTGAATGTTGGGATTGGTATGGTGTGGTTCTATTGTTGATTTGTTGCTTAGGTGTCTATGTTGGATTGGTAATGGAATATCATGGTGTGAAGGGAGCAGACAAAGTTTTGTGCATAAGTGTGGTGAGTGTGTTGGAAGAGAACTACAAGGAGATGGGATCCCACGTGCGCGATTTGCTTACTTTTGTGGTTGAAGGAGATCTACGATGGAAAAAGTCTATAATAATGGCCCAAGTATGTTAAGCAATGTGAGGCCCATTATGACGTCGGCTCCTACGATATGTAAGACAAAAGGGTTGTTGAATGATGTTTTATTTAGGTCGAGACTAACCATGGATCAAAAATCATCATGTTGGAGGTGATCTCCACTATCGACCATAACAATAAATGATGAGATAGGTCGACAACATGTTGAATAAGGAATAAATACGAGATTGAGTTATATTATAAGGTTGAACGGAGTCATCAGTGGGTTATAGATTGGCTTGGAGCGGTATCGGTGATACCACCGGTTTGTGGTTCCTTCTCCGACAGTTTAGGGCGGGTTGGAGTGTTATTGCGCGACAACGGGTTTGAGAACCCGTTCCTCCTCCTCCTCCTCCTTTCTTTCTATCTACTCCTCCCCCCCCCCTTCTCTCTCTCTATAATCCTTGTGCATTGTGTAGTTCTTCTTCCTTTAAGAGTTAAGACTTGTACCAAACTAATTTAGTATATTCTTAATTAATTTGTGAATTAGTTTTTTATGTTTTGGATGTTTTTTTAATTAATTTTGAACGATTTTAATTATTATGTATTTATTTTAAAATAAAAAATAAAGTGGTTTGTGAAAAATAGGGTTTTCATGTGTTGTGGTTTGGGCGGGTTGGAAGAGAGATGATGGAGAAAAGCTGATGTGGTAGTGGGTTAAGTGAGTTTGGAGGAAATGACCCCATCATCCCTAAGTGCTACCGAAATCATTTAAGGTAGTAACGATGTGGTCGTTATTGGTGTAACTAAGTTGAATGGCCTGTGGCAATGGTAGACGTAGAAAAGCGGCTGTGGAAAGAGAAGGGAAGTGTGGGTTTGGTTCGATATCATGAATGTGAGAGTTATTGGGGGTGGTTAGGGGTGGGTGCTCATGTTTTTGAAAAGGTTGGGTCGTATCGAAAGCATCATTGCCATCGATGATTAAAAAAATTTAGGGTGTATTACAATTTTTGTTGGGTGAAAATTTTTATGGATACCGGAAGGCAGAAGCAAAGTTATTCGACACAAAGTTTTTAGAGGGCATCAACTCAAAGTATTATGAAGAGTAAAGTGTGGTTTAGTTTAGGCGGCCCTGTTAGGAGGGGTGTGGTGGTGGACAATGTGTTGTTGAAGTTGGGATAACTGATGTTTATTGTATTCATGGCTAGTTAATCTTCGATAAATTTTGCTAACATGAAGGTTCGGTGTAAATATTATGGGTAGTAGATGAAGGTTTCAGATTTGATATCGTGGATTAAACCGAAAAGAAAACAATTAAGTAGGGCTTGTGGATAAAGGTCGATAACACAATTACTGACTTGGCTTAGTAGGCTGCTATTGTGGTGGTTTGGTGTAGCTTGAATGATATCACTTGATGGTTCTCCGAAGGATAAAGGCCTGAATCGTGATTCTAAGGCATGTGAAAATCGGTCCAACTCAAAGTTTCGCTCGTAAAGTTGAAACGTGTGAGTGAAATGTGTTGTAATGGGGGAATGGAATATTAGGTGAAGTAATCAATCGTTTGTTTAAAAGAGCCAATCCAAATGGTTAGACCCATTGAAAATGAGCTGGGGGATCTTCCATGGTCGTGATGTGTTTAAGGGTGGAGTATCATGACTCCTATCATTTGAAGATGATGAAACGATGGTAGGTGAAGTATTATTTGCAATACATGTTTGTTACTATGTTAGGGACGAATTTTATAGAAAGACAAAAGCTTAGGGTCTAAGTAAAAAGTTTCATTTCATTGGCGACAAACAAACCGGCGCCGACTCATGAAAATTAAATCGGTTTAAATTTTGAAAAACCGGACACTTCATTTGTATATATAAAAGCATCCCTTTTGCCCTACGAAGCTCCTCTTTTTTCTCTCTCTAGAAGCTCTTTCACATTATCAGCTCCAAACAGTTGTCTGCTATCTCGTTTCGAGTCTGATCGACTCATCGAAGATCAATCGTGAACTCTTGGTTCACGAATCAAGCAATCGAGATAGTTTATCCGGTAAGTTTTTCATCAAACCTTTAATTGAGGATTAATTTCTATCCAAGTCTGTCAGCTCTCTACACGTTTAAGCTTATGGCTTCTGATTGTTTACTTTCCTGGATCTCCTAGGGCTTTTTACCTGCTTAATCCGATTCTGTCGGTAGTTTGACTTCATCTCGTTTGTTCTTCACGATGCCAATTTTCAGCTATTTAGCTTGTAACTTTTAGGGCTTCCGATTTCGTGATATATTATCTGTTTTTTTCTAATTAGGTCTTTGATATGATGCTTTACCACCGTAATTTTCTCATTTCTGATATGATTTTTGTTATCCCCTCTTTTTCTGTGCTATTGCATGAAAAATGAAATCAAAATCGAACTTTTTATTGATTGTGTGATGTTACCAGGATTACTGTTTGAAAATCGAAGAACAATAAAGATGCCTAAGGAAAGAAGAGACCGATCCGTCTCCATCGACAGGTCTTGGACATCTCCATACGTCTGCAACACCAGTCACTCAAAACGATCACTCTCCAAAAACCCATTAGAATCCGAAAACATAAAAGAATGGGAAGAAGCTCGATGCCCAGTATGTATGGAACACCCACACAACGCCATCCTCCTCCTCTGTTCTTCCCATGAAAAAGGTTGTCGACCATTCATGTGTGACACAAGCTATCGCCATTCCAATTGCTTCGACCAATTCCAGAAAGCATCTTCTGAATCAATCGAAACAACACCAACACCTACACCAACATCAACACAAACACCTGTCACAACACTAACCTGCCCGCTATGTCGCGGGCAGGTGACCGGATGGATAGTGGTGGAAGCTGCCCGAGGATTCATGAATGGAAAAACCCGAAGCTGTGCTAGTGAAACATGTGAATTTTCAGGGACATATGCTGACCTGAGAAAGCACGCGAGGCTGGATCACCCGTTGGTGAGACCATCAGAAGCTGATCCAGATAGGCAAAGGGATTGGAGGAGGTTAGAAAGACAAAGAGACATGGGAGATTTATTGAGCACTCTTCAATCTTCTATAGCTGATGAAAATGGTGAAAATCTTGAAAATGGTGTAACAGGAAATGGTGGTGCTACTACTGCTTTATCTTTTGATGAAGGTGGTTGGTTAACCGTGTTTTTCTTGATTAGGGTTTTTAGACCGCGAAGCGGCTCAAGGAGTAGTAGTAGTTGGTCCGGGACCTCGCGGGCCCGGGCCCATGTCACAATTAGGAGGAGACCGAGTACACGGTTATGGGGGGAGAGTCATAATGAAGGAGTTGTAGATGATGGTGATAATCATAATGATGATGGTGATGATGATGATGATGATGATGATGATGAGTCATCGGATGGGGGGTCGGGCCCACAGAGTAATAATAATAATAATAATAATAATAATAATGAAGAAGAATCTTGATTTTCAGACAAGTGTCATTGTAAGGAATAATTTTGAAAGAATGAAAGTATGTTGCTATTTGTTGTGTTAATGTGTTTGGTGATGTTTGATTTTGTTTTGTGATGTGTGTTTTCAGGTGAAGAGAGAGAGAGAGAGAGAAGAATCTTTGGCTTGTTCTTTTATATGGACATGGAGTTTGGAGATTTGTAAGAGAGAGAGAGAGAGAGAGAGAGGAGGGAGGAAGAAATTTGAAACTGTAATTTTAACTTGAAACTTATATGATTTGTTTATACATCTTCAATCATTGAGGTTTATCAAGTACTTTGTTTATCTTGTTGCTATTGAGTCAACTCGTTAGGGGTATTTTCGTCAATTTGTTGGGTTTGGGGGTTATTATGGAGTAGTGTCATTATCATAGTTGTTTCTCATTTTATTTGGTTTGGGGTCATTATGGAGTAGAATCATGATCGTTTCGCTTCTTGCCCTTTTGGGTCAACTTGTTAGGGGTATTATGGTCTTTTTTGTTTGCATTAGGGGGATTGTGTTGTGTTTAGAGGTCCCTTAAAGATGTTCTTTTAACTTTAGTTAGGCATTTTGTTGGCATTATGGTCATTGTAGTATACTCCAAACTTTATTTAGGCAAACCTAATAAGGGGCGTTGTAGTAATTTTTTGTTGGCATAATGGGATTATGGTATATCTCATTTTCTCTTTTCATTTGAGACCACAACTGTAAAAAATCAACATGGTTTACAAAATAATTAGGACTAATTTTAGAAAATCCTTAATTTTTTAAGCTTTTTACCTAAAAAGTTATTAATATAATTTTTATTTTATTTTGTAGGTAAATAATTGTTTAATTAAAAATTAAATATAAAAATCATTGATCTTGTGCAATAACAACGAGGAACATTTATGTCTTGTGCACAGATAAAATATAAAAATGTGCGTCAACAAACCGGGTGTTGCCCTCCCTCCTAGAGGTTGAGGGTTCAAGTCTCATCGGAGACATAGGTGGTATTAGTAGTAATTTAGGAGTAGTGTAGATTTGTCATTTAAAAAAAACAAAAAAACAAAAAAAAGCAAAAAAAAATTATAAATTTTTATGCTACTAAAATCAATTTACTGTACATGTCAAACGTAGTATAACCAGATACATTTCTTCGACACGTTTTTTTATTCTTTTTTTTTTTTTTATGTCTAGATACATTTTTGTCCGCATACAAACTTCCCACTTGGCCTATTGTGGGAGGCATATGGCTATGGGTATAATGGTCACAGTGAATGTGGGGACATCAAGTGGAATAATAATTGGTTGCATGGGTAGGGGGTACTTGGTCTCAGATGATGTGTTTTTATCTTTTTACAAAAGTGGTCCAATGGTTATTTGCTTGAAAATAAGGTAGTAAAGTGTTATTAATGGAATGATGAGGGGGTCCAAGTGAAAACTTACCAAGAGTAATCACAATGTGCAATAATGAGAAGCCAGAAGGATTCTCCATCATGTTTTTTCTATGAATTATGGACGTTAGCTGGAGTTATTATTATTTATTTTGGTCAAATATACGATAACGAGGTGGATATGAAAGGTAGATACTTCTTTCTCATTTATTTGTTTTGATTTTGATTTTTTTTTTTGCTTTTCTTTTTTTATAATTATATATCTCGTCTCATTGTCTTATAATATGTTCTACTTCATGAAATTTCACTGTTTTTTTCCCTGAAATGACGGATTGTAATTATATAGAACACACATTTGTGAGACATTGACCTATACGTACATAAGATTTTTATGAAGAGATTTGTGATATATATATATGGATTTGTGGACTATATTTACTTTAACTTTTTGGCTGCGGTATTTCTTAAGGATTCTAGTTGTACCTTTGGTTGAATGTATGTCGGTCATATTCCATTGAGATTTTTTTGGTTGTCTTTTGTGAATTTTAAGGTGTTGCAATCTTTAGTACTATTATCACAGTTTGTATGTATGATTTTTAGTTATTCATTGTAATCTAAACTCATCATGATAGTCTATCACCATAAAATCATATTTTTTCGGATTTATTTTATTTAATTATGAAATGATCGTGAAATTTCACTCGTCTCGTGGATTTGTATTTTTCTGAAGAAAAAAAAAACAAATCGACAACTTTTTGCTCGACATTTATATTATTTTCGAGATATATAGATCACGATTCAATCTATTAACAACAATCATAACCCTAAAATAATTTTCAGAATTACATTTCAACAATTGTCAAGAAGATTGATGATTCAAACCAAAATCCTTCTGACAATATCATACCACTGACCATCAAGCAAGCAATAACCCTAACTTTGGAGGCTTGAGAATTTCGACCAACAAGAAACATGTTGGTTTCTTCTTGTCGTCGCACGAATAGGAGGAGATGAAATAGGGAGGGCTCACATGAGGGTTTCAGAATTGGAGCTTGAAAATCCCTTGAATCTACTCCTTTTATGTACTTACTAGTACTATTTCACACGTATCAATAACTGCATAATCTCAATCGTTTGAATAAATTCTATCCGCGAATTACACATGAATAAAATAAAATATAATATATTGTTTAATGTTATTTATAGTTGTTGTTACTGTTAATTAATTTTTTTAAAATTTATTTGCTTAATGTTTTAATTTCTATTCATTATAATTATTTAAAACATCAAACATTGTTTTTTGATTTTAAAGGTAACAATATAATCATTTATATAGAGTTATTTTTAACTATTGTTATTGTAAGTTATTTTAAGCTACTTATTTGAAAACATTTAACGATTATAAAAATATATTTAGGAAATATTTTAGTTAAATTGAGATTACAATTTAGTTTTTGCATTTATCACTACAATTTATCACTTTTAACTATTTACAAAATATTTTTTGGGTTGTCTAAGTTAAACTAAAATTTCTATTGAAGTTGACCTTGTAATTGTATATTTAAAGTAATAATTTAAGTATTTTATACAAATTGTTCCAAAATTGTATCTTTAAAATGATATTGGTTTACATCCAACAATATATTAGAACTAATAAATTAAGTATAATGTGTTAAAAGTTAAAAAAACATAACTTTATAAGTAGAAGTAAATATATTATTTTAATATTGAAATTTAATTTATATATGATTACACTTTAAGTTTGATATTTATTTAACCTTATTAATCAACTTATAATTATTATTATAACGAAATTGAAAAGTCATGAGAGTTTCAAATGAATGCGGTGAAAGGAAAAATGCATGGGAGTTTCAAATGAATGTGGTGAAAGGAAAAATGCTTCATTTATAAGTATATATATAGATATAGATATAGATATAGATAAATATAGATAGATAGATGAGTGAGAACATCTTATCATTTTCATATTTGAATTCAAGGATAATATTATTTTATCTTCTAGGATTATTAATTATTTCAAATAACTAATATAATTCTTTTAGCATAATTAATTAATTTACACTAACAAATTTTTAATTATTTATTAACAATTTAATATATAATAAATTAATTATATTAATTTCTAATTATTTATTGGCACTTAATAAATAACAAATTAATTTATCTTTATTAACTTGTTCATGCTTTTATTTTGAGTCAAATGTGTAACCTATACAAACACATGTAGCTAATTGTGTTATCAACATGTTGTGTTACCAACATGTTGTGTAGTGAGCATATCTCCAAAGACTTCCAGTTGCACGCGTCACAACATCTCTATGGTCAAACTCACAACATCTATATAGTCAAACTCCAACAGACCCCCATATATCTCCATTTTGGGGACATTGAATATTACCATCTTAGTATTATTCATGACAAAATTTCCATGAAGTAATTATCTAAATGTGGGTTACTTCACTACTTAGATCTTCTGAACCCTTGGGTATGAGAATGCCCCAGATAAGTGATGATATATCATTTGACTGTAACACTCTAAAAATCATAAAAATTTAAAATTTCAAAAACAACCATTAACCATCATTGTTTACAAAAAGAACCATTGTTTCAAAAGTAAAGTCATATCAGAGTGTCCAAAAGGTCAATATTATGAAAATAGGAAGATGTACATGATCAGGCCTTCGCTTTCTCACGGTCCTCTGAAGTACCTGAAACAATAAACTAAAAATGTAAGTCAAAACTTTGTGAGTTCCCCCAAATTATCATCACACAACATAACGGATAAAGCATGCAAATATGAGCCTTCAGCCTGATTGACCCGCCTCGCAGGGCCTACAACCTATTTGGACCGCTCTACGGGCCAGGGGTGGATTTACTATGTTGCACGGGGTAGCACGAGCTACCCCTCAAAATTTTCCATCAAATTTAAATGTAGTGAAAAATCGTCAAAATCCATCACAAATTCGTTGCAAATCCATCACAAATTCGTTGGCATTCCATCATAAAGTCTAATAATTGTGAATTTAGTGTGTCACACCCCCAAACCAGAACGACGGAAACGTCTGGGGGCGGATGGAGTGACTTCATGTAAAGTATCATAACAATGGAGTAGTAATGAAACATAGCAACAAAAACATTCATACAATTAGATTTAGAGTATTACATTGTTTACAAAACACAATTATTTGAAATTCGATTACAAATAACTGAAAAATAAATAACATGAAATGACAACGCCGACCCTCAAGAAGGATTGAGTACCTGCCTGCTAGATCCTTGAGAATACAAGTCGTTTTGAAAAGCGTCAACTAAAAAGTTGGTGAGTTCATAAGCATTTTTGTACGAAATAGTTTTACACATGTTTAGAATAGTTCTCGTAGTATTTTCAGAAATCCGATATTTTCTATGTAAGAAAAAAGAAGGTTTGTAGTCTCGTTCTAAAACCGTGAATAAATGCATGCAAATCCTTTGTTTCTTTTGTTATACTTGTAAATAGTGCAAATTCCCAGAAAATCTAATATTTTCATAAATATGAGTTGAAAGTGAAAGTAGTTCCTTAGTACCCTTTCCTTGTAAAGTAATAATATATAGTTCCAGAAAAATGCAGTATTTTTCCTTAAAGATGTGTTGTAGTTGAAAGTAATTCATTTGTATATTTTCCTTGTAAAGTATTAAAGTATCTTTCTAGAAAATCCAATGTTTTTGTAAGTCCCTAATCTGCTTGTGTATCAATCAGATCTGTTTGATGGTGCGGAATCCCAATCAAACGAATGATGTCAGATCAAATAGAAGAGAAGGAGAAGAAGAATATGATGAATCTTGTATGTATTGATATGAATGAAGATCCGGATACAAGATTCACACACACTAA